CTGTTGCTGCCAGTTGCCAGTTGCCAGTTGGCAGTTGCGTGGCCTTAGCAGCGCTTTCATTGTTCCGGCTTAAGTGCCATGGATCGCACACACATACACATGCATACATATAGCTGCAGCTATATGCCCCGCCCTGTCCCTTGCCGGGCCGCTCGCTCATAAAAATAAACCGCAACAAGCTGCCAACTGGCAGTAGGGAACTCCTCACGTGCTGCGTGTGCCAAAAGTCTGCCTTCTGGCTGGCCCCTGGTCTCTCGTCTCTCGTCTCTCGACTCGATTACGTTTCGGTTTGGGACATCACAAGTGGTGCCAAGTGCTGCTGGGGACGGACAAACAGTTGGACGACAAATTGTCTGCCTGTTGCCTGTTGGCTTGCTCTGGTCTGGCTGAGTCTGGCCCGGGTCTGGTCTGGCCTGGTCGGGTCTAGTGTCTGGCGACTGGGTCTGCTGTTTTTTACGAGCCGCATGTAAGCTCTTTGGATATCATAGCCATGGCATCGCCGTCGCAGTTGCACGTAGGAGTCGCCTGTCGTCTGCTACAGCTACAGCTACAGCTGCTGCTGCTGCTGCTGCTGCCTCCGTTTGGTAGCCGCAATCACAGCCACAGCCACAGTCCCTGTCACGGTTGGTGGTGCCTCGCGGTGGCTACTGAGGTAGCCGCCGTGGCGCCGACATGTTCAGCATGTTGCCCATTTATGTGCCGCTGCCGTTTTTTCATTCCATTTCTGTTTCTTTTTTTTCTTTCTGTTTTCGTTTTTTACTTCTGCTTTGTGCGCTTTTTGTGTGTGTTTTGACTGATGGCCAAGGTGTGGCCAAGTCGCGGACATGGCTTGACACTGTGCTCTGCGGCAGCCCGTTGAGTGGCTTTTGAGCGGCGCCTAATTAGACGTTAAGTGCAGCGTGCGGCCTGCATTCAAGTGGAGCCTGCCATGGCCACCCTGGGGGGCACTGCCTCTGCCCCACACTGCTCCCTGTCCAAACATTGTGACAGCTGATCGCATCGCCCAGCCACACGTATGTGAGCGTGTGTGTGTGTGTGTGTACGTTGGCTAATTGCCGCCAACGTCGCGTCGCTGCCAACGCTTCAAATGTGGCACGCTGCATTTTGCATTTTGCAGTTTGCACTTTGCATTTTGCGTGTGTGAATACAAGCAGCAAAAGAAAAAAGAAAAAAAAAAAACACGTACGAATTCTGTTATTTTCAATGGGCGCCAGCCAGCCTTGGGGGCGTGGGTGTTGCCTTAAATGCTCAGCATGCCAGCGCAAAAATGCTGCAGCTTACACTGTGCAACAAAACCAAGGAAATGCAATTGCAAGCAATTGAAGTTTAATTTGAATGAAATGTGTTTGTGAAGCATAAGGTAATACATATATTATATTTTAAAATATTTGATTAGGATAAACTTTTATATTGCAGGGGATAAGAATATATGGATAAGGACAATTTGGTAGATGAAATAGAATATTAAATAAAATATTAAATATTTCATATTCTTCTTATGTAGATAAGTACAAGCCATATTACTGGTAATTAATTAGTAAATGTGTCATGGGTTCCATTGACTATTCTCTGCTACACAAGGTCAATTCGCTAAATGCGACTAAATTTCATTTAAATGAATTGTTTGGATAGGTACGATAGATAGACTTGTTATAGAATGGAAATCAATTAATCATACGGTATTAATGTTTGTTGAGGTAGATACATTAAACTATACATTATTGTGAGAAATATTGAAATATTGTGGACAAATTGAGAATCGGCGTGCCAATTAGAGCTCGACCAAGCTCTTGTTGGGCAGTGTAGGTCAACGATAGCAGCGGACTGTGTCCATTAGGGACAGCCTGCATACATATGCAGATTGCATGACACGACGGGCAACAAGTGGCGGACAGGCTGCCACAAGCGACATTGACTGCGGCAGTGGCTGTGGCTGTGGCTGTGGCAATAGCCATGGCCATGGCCATGTACCGAGAACAGGATTGGCAACGGGATTGGGCCAACAAAGGCCGACACGGACATGAACAATGGCTGCACCGCAGCGCTTGCCAAAAATGCTTGCAAACATGAATGCGAGTAGCTCGTTGCGCGTTGCCCGTTGCGCGTTGCACGTTGCACGTTGTAGGTTGTTCGCTGGAGTTGGAGTTGGAGCCAAATGGAGAAGTGACGCTTCTGGCGTTGTCCTTGGTGAGTCCCGCATGGCCATTTCATGTTTTTTGCCTCCCCAGTTACCTTTTTGCAGGCGATAAAGGTCACGGGATGGCAACGCCAATGCAATGCGACCTGAATTTTCGGCGACGCGGTGGCAGGCGACATTGGCAGCTGTTGTTGGTCACTGGGACAGGCAGCGACAACGATGCGAAACTTCACTTTCACCCAGTCAGCCAGTCAGCCAGTGAGGCAGCCAGTAAGGCAGCCAGGCAACAAAAGGCTGCGGCAACAACAACGCCAACACGGACAAACTTTGCAACTGTTGCCGGAAAGACAGCAGCAACAGTTGCAGCAGCGGCACACAAAATGCCAACGGGCTGGCTGGCAACTGGCAATAGACTAGAACGAGAACAAGAGCGAAAGCGAGACCCAAGCCGAGAAGGAGACCCAAGTGCGAAACTGAGGGAAAGACCATGCGGAGAGCAAGTCGAAGCCAAGTCGGGGACCAAGTGCTGGGGACTAATTCAAAGGCAAACCGCAGCCAAACTTAAAGAAGCTGCCGCCGCGCCAGTTGCCACTTGCCACTTGCCGCTTGCCGCTTCCCACTTGCCAGTTGCCAGTTCAATGTCAAGCGGCGCAGCGTTAGGAGGCACGCAGTCAGTGGAGGGCAGAGGGGCAGAAGCAGTGAGACTTGTTGCTCACTTTAGCCATTTTATGGAGCAACGTGATTTGGCTACGACTAAGGATGTGGCATGCCGCATGCCGCATGCCGCATGCTGCCAGTTGCCATCGTTGCCATCGTTGCCTGTCTGCGTTTTTATGGGCTTGCCAAGGAATGTCAAGTTGTTGGCTGACTCTGTCTGTGCGCTCGCCGGGTAGTATAACTGTCTCTCAGTGTGTCTGTGTCTGTGTGTGTGTGTGTGTGTGGCCATGACGACATAATCAACGCTTCATTGACGGGACACCCGGGATGCGAATGTGGACATGAAGACAGCTGTTGCCGCTGCCGCTTTACAAGACAAATCGCCAGATTAAAGCAGCGCCGACAATGGGGTGTGGCATGCCACACAAGGACAACACACCACAGGATGTGACGACGATGAAGTCGGCGAATGACTCTCAAGTTTGGTTAACTTTTTACGACCATCATGCGGAGGAGGAGGCGGAGATTGAGGCAGCGCAGTCCGATGGGAAACGTTGTGGCAAAAAGGCTCGAGTTGCACACTGAGAGCATTAAACTGGAAGTTGATTCAATCGAATCCTTCAGCTCAATGCTTGTTCATAAATATGTATGTATCTATGTCCATAGCAACACGTGGCCCAGGAAGCTATTTCCCAGATAAATCTAGCTCATACATGAACAGATAGATAAGAGGTCTACGTTTTACATTTTCTTGTGATCTTTAATATCTGTTCTGCATAAAGAAAGATATGCATGTCTTGCTAATTCAATATATGTGTTTTATGCATGGGAAAGACTGACAGGTAATGAAACATAGAAAGAACCAGAGAAATTGATTATCTATTATTTGTAAAATTTAAGTATTGTTTTGAGATAAGTGTATATATTATTTTTTGTATAATTTTATTTTGTAAGTTTCATCTTTTTATATATGTATCTATTTAGTGAATATACATATAGTATTTTTTATATATTTCATTTGATTTTTATTTTTTTTTTATATTCAGTCTAATTTTTTGTTTAGGTTTTAAAAAATTATATTGTTGATGAATATAAATTAATAAATCACTACCATGATAATTTTATTGCAATATTCAGCAATGCCCGAAATGTAGTCATGGCATAAAAGAGAAAACAGAGAATCGCTGCGGGCTGTGACGTTGCCAGGAAGTGTGTGAATGACTATTAAATTAGACAACTTTTTACGACCACGACCTTGAAAGGGAGCAGGAACAGGAAAGCCGGCAGCTCGACGACCTGCCAGTTGCGTGTCAGAGCCTTGGCTAAGGTCAAAGCCAGAGCCAAAGTCAAAGTCAAAGCCAAAGCCAATGTCAGCCTCTGACGCTGTTTAGCTGGAAGCGAGTGCCCAACGGTCCGCCGATTCCCCAGTCGCAGACAGAGCCAGACCCTCCTCTACGACAAACAATGAAAGAACCAGAGTAAGTAGCTAGACCGACCGGGTCTGGGCCTGGGAATGGGTCTGGGTCTGGGCATGGGACTGGGACTCGCTGTCTGTGTCTGCTGCTGCCGTCTGTGCCGCTGACTCTGTTTGGGTCTTGCTACGTGCGGCATGTTGCGACTTTAGCAGCGGCGTCGGCGGCAGCCTTTGGGAGCGTAACTTTGTCTGCCCTTTTGCGTTTTTATTATATTTTTTTGCGCCCTCTGTGGGCTTTGAGGCTGGTGCCAGAGCGAACGGTTGACCCCAACGCTTGCCACTGACTCTGCGAGTTTGCTACGTGCAACGCGTGGTGGATGGATTATGCTGCTGCTTAATGGAGGGGACCAACAGACCAACGGACCAACAGACCAACAGACCGAAAGCCTGTTGCCCATTTGCCTGCGCAAACAATGCGGATGCCCCGGCGTGATGACGTGGAAAATGTTGCCGCATGCCGCGACAGCCACTTAAAGTGGGTCTGCAGACTGAGTCAGCGTTTGGGTCTGGGTCTGAGACTGGGTCTGGGTCTGGCTGGGACTGGGACTGGGACTGGGACTTCGTCTGTTTAACCGCAGACAAACTGTCTACCGCGTGACTTAATTAGCCTGCCTGACTGTGCATTGTGTGATTGTGACGAAGGCTTGGCGCAATAAAACCCAAGCCGAAGCCGAGGCCGAAGCCGAAGGCGTTTAGCGGCAGCGAAACAGATAGATGGATGGATGCACTTACCCCAGTTGTTGGTGTTCCATTGCCAGCGGCTACTGCGGTGGCATTGACGACGACGGCATTGGCGCCAGTCGCCTTGCCCTTGCCGCGTCCGCGCTTCGCATCGGCACGAACGGGTTGGCCGTCGGCACCGTAAACGATCTGAAAATTGAATAAATGGCAGAGAAAAGTTTTTGTGAGTGACTTGATTAACTCGTAGAAATAATGAGGAGCGTTAAGTGCTAATTTGTTCTCAGTTGAGCAGCCGAACAGGCTGTTCTGAAACGAACACTGTTAATTAATCACTTATGTTTACTTTTCATTTAATTACAACAATGCTAGCTAACATAATTAAGCAATTAGATAAGAAAAGTTGTAATTCTATTAAACAGCTTATGAATCTGCATGTGAGTCACGTATTTTCTTTGTCTATTTTAGTATAAGGTTAAAAAATACGTTTAATTTTGATTGCTCTCTATTTTGTTATACAGTTTAAAAATACGTTAAGTAGTCGACCTTTATACTCAATGTGTTTTGAAATTTATTCCGTTGAAATAAGTATACCAACTGAAATAGTCAAGACACAAACCAGTTGCGTTAACAGTAAACTGAACCGAACACTGCTTGAAAAGAGCTGCTTGGCTGTTCATTTAGTTTTTGTCATTCTGCTAAAGCAGTGAACAAAACTTGAGTCTATCTCGGCCGGGCGTTAACCAGGGCTGCGTAATAAGCAGTGCACGGAAAGCAGTTTATGTGAGAAGTTATGTGGTACACTCGCGACTCGCGCGCGTTTTTTTCGAACTGCTTGTCAGTGTAACGCGATTCTGTTTAGTATAAAAAGTTTTCTTTTGCTAACTAAACAATAAAATAGATTAAATTACGAAAAAGACGACTATTTTAAAACTTAAAATAAAAAATAATTAATTAAAAGTGTCATTGACCTATTATTTCATTAATAAGACACCCTTAAGAAAACTCTAGTTTCAAGTGAAAATTATCCCCACTGTAAGATGAGCCTCTGATAATTCCAATAGACATGAGAAATGCTTCACATATTTTATTCCGCGACTTATGGCAGTCATATACTTATAAAACCTCACTCAGCATCTATTTCCGGCGAAAAGTCATAAATATAATTCTTCGAGCCTCAGACGCGGCTGTGTCTTAGAGTGCTTCAGCGCACTGGAGCCATTAAACAAAGTGCTGGGAACACACATAACTGTGAACGGTAAGCGGAAAATTGAAAATCCAAATGGAAATCTAGTGCTCGCCTCCACACACGCACGCAGTCGCAGACTCACATAGAAACACGCGTGCGCATCCATCTTATGTGCGCAGGCGCGGCGCAACATCCGAAAATAGACGCAGCAGACGGACGCGACATATGGACCCAGACGAGCGCCAACTGCTGGAGTGCAAGGCAGAGTGGAGGGGAGCTGCAGATGGGGATGCGGATGGCGATATGTGCGAGTATGGGGAACATGCTGCAGCAGGCAGCAATGTTTTGTCGAAATGGAAATGGACGCGGATGCTTCGCAGGAGTGCTGCTGGAATGCCCTTGTCGCTATGCCTGCTCTGAGTGACAGACGGCTGCGCCTTAACGGTAAATAAGCAACGCCTGGCAGATGCAGATGCAGATGTAGATGGGGCAAGCTGCCGTAAGATGCCGTAAGAAGCCGAAGACTGTGCTGTTGGCACGCGCAGGCGCGCACACATCGCAGCCCAGGCAGAGGGCGCACATGTTGCTGCCACATCAACATGAGCAGCCTCGTCAGGGGCTGTGCATATCTTGGGCAGTCGCATCTACATCCACATCCACTTTTAGCAGCAGTTGTCATTTCGGAAGCAATTATTTTAATGCAAGCTGCGAGCGTGCCATGCTCCCAGTCTCAGTCTCATTCTCAGTCCCAGACGCAGACGCAGACGCAGACGCAGTCGCAGTTGCAGTTGCAGCCCCATGAAGTGACAGCAGCAATGACGACAAAGACGACATCTTGTTGATGTCACATAGACTTGGATTTTGGTGAGCATTACACTCGCACACACACACACACACTTACACTCGCATGTAAATGGGCCTGAGGGGCTGTTGATCTAAATTTAGTTTGGCTAAGAGTTACTGAGGTGATTCGCTGACTTTTTTCTGGAAATTGATATTGTGCAGCATTTCCAGTGTACAGTTGGCACCAAAACACGCCAGCTAAAAGTGGAGCATGCAGAAGTGGAGACTCAGAGCTGCAGAGTTGCATTCATATTGATCTCTGGAACAGATAGACATTTGAAGTAAATTTCCTCCTAACTACATTTCTGTGATACACTTTTAAGCGAATTATTAAAGGAAATTCAATTAGAGCCGATTCGATAACAACCTATTAAGACTGAGCTTAGTTATATATGTAATTAGATAAATATAAAATCGTCCTAGCAATCTAATAATAAATAAATCATAATATTAAATGTTCATCAACGACACAGTAGAGACAATAGTGTTTTAGGTTCTTTACGAAGTTAATGCTACTTACATATATATATATAAAAAAAAAAACGATAACATATGTATTGTCTCGACACTGATGAAACACAGCGAGGATAAAACATATGTATAAGCTATGTACTTAGCTAACCGTTAAATAAATATTCTATTTGTTATTCATATTTGTTTATGTGGTCTCTCTTTTTATAGCCTTGAGTGGTAAGAATTGCACAAGCTTATCCTATCCTATTGTCATCGCAGACATAATGCTAATACACACGTACACTCATACACACACTTATACACGAACTTATACATAATCAACTTAGCCGAAGTCGTTGCTTAGCACCGACGACTCGCGAGGCCGACGACCTACAAAGGCTGCGTGAAATTGAGCCAAAAATAGGCAAACACACACACACACAAAAGAAGCTCACACACACACGGACAACAACAATGGGCAATCAGCAGTCAGCAGCTGCTTCCTGCTCCTGTTCATTCAGCTTCCTTTTCGTTCGAGTTGCTCTCACATCCTGGGTCCTGCGTCTTGGGTCCAGGCGCTGACAGTTTATGAGCAGCAGACGAAACTGAATCAATTTTGAAATCAATTTTTTGTCGTTTTCAGTTTTTGTTTAAGTTTTTTCCATCTTTATTAGCGCCAGCAGATGAAAACGCATGTTGGCTTAATTGCTGTTATTAGTTAGTTTTTTCATATCAACACACACACACACATACATGGTTGTTCTTCTTATTTTTTATTGAGGCCAACAAAGAAGTCTCGACAGCAGCTGCGACACAATAATGAGACGCAATTTAGGCTCAAAAGCCCCGAGGGCGACAAAACCCTGCAACAGGTAGCCAAGTTAAACCGCAAAGGCCACACGCACACACACAGCAACAGAACGGCACAAGCACGCAGACAGACATATATACGCACACACATACAGAAAAGCATTAAGGAACCTGACCTAGGCCAAGTGGATTTCGGGTAGGTGCCGTCAAGAGCGCGCACAAAGCAAAAAAAAAAAAAAAAACAGGAGAAATAACAGAAATGCGCACAAAAAGTGGAGCTGAGTAGCCCTATCAAAGGCCCGCACATGCAGACGGTAGACTGTTGCGCCTTTTATGACACATTTGTCGCCCTCTCCCCTGCTGCTACCCCACACTGCCCTCCCCCTTACCAACGCATGCTGGCAGCAGCAGCAGCAGCAGTTGACTTCGTCGTCATCATAATGAGCAAATGGGCGCCCCATAAAAAGTTGCTTTTAGGCAGAGCCCAATGTGCGTGTCTCTCTGTCTATATCTCTGTTTGCGTTTGTGTGTGTGTGTGAGGCTTTTGGCAACCCTTCGCTTGATGTACTGCAAACCCAACTTCAGCTCTGCTTCTCCCTGCTCACGGCTGCTCGCTTTAGGTGCTGCCGCTCATCGAACCCTTCGAGTGGCTTTGGCTTTGACTACCTTCAGGTCGTTCAACTGCCTAGGCAAACGTTTGAGCCTTTTAATTGATAGCCTTGACCTGGTGCTGGCCCTGCTTCTGCTGCTGCTGCAGTTGCTAGGTAAATGTGCCCAAATTATTAATTACTTCCAGGGAAATGCCTGCGCTTCAACAGAGAGCAACAACCCCTTTCTGTTTTGGGGAGCTATCAAGGCTAGGCACAGCATGCAAAGCAGCAACAGCAGCCAGAGGTTTAGGACAACAACATTGTCCTGCCCCGGCTCCTGCCCCATCAGCAATAGCACCAGCAGCAATTTCAAGGCTAAGCGCACCTTCCGCCCTGAACCAGACAGAGAAGGAAAGGGAGAGGAAGAGAGTGGGTGGGTGAGGTGGGGATTACAGCTGTAACAGGCACATGCAGCGCTAATCTTTGTTTATTTTGATTATCACTTTCGTGGCGACACTGATGCCCGCCATGTCCTTGAAGGTTATGACTGCGGCTTGCGTGACCGAAGAGCTGAGGAGCTGAGGAGCTGGGGAGCTGAACAGCTGAAGAGCTGGCTAAATGACTAACTGCCTGCCGTCTGGCATTAGGTGTTGAATTATGCGGCACGGCTGGAGCTGCCGGTGAATCACACGGATTTGTTTTCTGCTGGCTCTTATATATCTCTATATATATGTATATATGTGTGTGCGCATTTTCTATATCTCTGTTGATGTGTGCGTGTATATAGTATATATTCCTCTCTGATTGTGGCTGTGCGTCTTTTATTTCGGGGGTTGACTTTTGTGCCAATGGGGGTGGGTTTTTTTCGTTTTTCGTTTCATTTTTGCAGTGTAATTGAAGCCAACCCTGCAGTCGTATGTTTGTATATATACAAATACAAATCCATACATATATGCGTGTATTTGTGTGCATACACATATTCGTAGGTACATACAGACAGCCTTTCGGCGAGGGAGTTGGCAAATGCGTCATCGTCAATTTGCTACACGCAATTTAGATGCGAAATTTTCAATGTCACTGCGAGGCGCATTTTGGGGCGCGAAGCTGGCGAGGTGGCAAAGCCGCCACTTGCCATAACTACCTTACTCAATCTGTCTCGCTTCCGCTCAATCACTCTCGCTCTCGCCCTCGCCATCGCCCCCTCCCACTCTGCCTGTGGCTGTGCGCGTCGAGGGCCCCCTTGAGATGTAACCATTTTGATATGTGCTAAAAAGCTCACTTCAAAATTTGTATCAAGGTCAAGTTCA